TTCGCATTACTACTGTTATTATTTCTATTTAAAAATAAACAAAAATAAAATGAGGTAGGACAGGGAACCTGGTGGGTACCAAGGAACTTTTCTTATGTAAACACTGGCACTCTGGTTATAATCTAACACTAACAAAATTTACCACTAACTAAAACGTACTGTCTACAATCTCCATCTTGAGGCATACTTTAAATTACACACCTTGTTTAATTTATAGATTTTCTTCTTCATCCCTATCTCTTGCATTTTGCAATAACTTGTCTGATGAGGAAGACTGTTGTGCCATTCTGGTTAGTTCTAAGACAGGTACTGCCCTACTATGGGTATTGGATTTTTCCTTATAGACCAACATGACTATTGTTGGTTTTAATAAACAAAAAAGCATACTGCACAGTCCCAAAGCTAGCAGGAGCTACACAAAGTCAGAGAAACTTAAATTATTGCTTTTAATGTATTGCATACAAAGGATGAGTTGCAACAGTTGATTCTTGTCAATTTCAGAGAATACCTATATTCCATCTGACAGCCCTAAAGGCAGATTGCTTTTTTTTTTTTTTTTTTTACAACTAGACAACTTTATCATAAAAAGTCAAAGGTACTGTAGTATCGTAAGGAACAAATGAAAATAATTTCCATCTAGATAAAAAAATCTCCAAAATTATTCTTTTTTTTATAGAAAAAAATCACTTCAATTATTTAATAAACTATTGTTGCAACTCTTTAAAGGCTAATCGTTTTTCTAGAAATTTAAACATCAAAGTGGAGTGCCATCTCTATTAGTTTAATATATATTCACTGCAGCAAGTATCAGCTAAAAGTTAGGCAATATTTTCTATATAATTAGCACTCCAAATTTCACTACATTCATACAAGTAAAAAGATTTATGACACAGAATCGCTGTTGACACAGAATTGACACAGAATTGCTGTTGATGACACAGAATTGCTGTTATTTATACCAATCTCAATTTTCAAATAGTTCCCTAAATTAGGGTTAGGGTTAGGGTTA